GCATCGAAGTTAACCTTGTATATATATGTATAGATATTTGATCAAAAAATATATATGTATATAGTATATATATATATATATATATATATATTTAAAATTTTAAATTACAAACTTAATACATATACGAATATATATGTATATATATTTTGATAAAAAAAATTAGAAATTTATATTTTAATTTTTAAAATGATGATATGGCGCTGACGTATCAATTCAGTCAGCACCATGCCAGCAATTCATCGTACCATGTCAACAAAATTTTTTATCAAACAAATCAAATGTTTTATATAGAAGAAAATTGTAAATTTGTAATTTTTGTGGAAACTTTTATCAAATTTAGGGTTTTTTGTAGGACATTGCAGGTTTAGGATTTTATATGGAACATTTTTAATAAGTTTGGGATCATTTTTTTTTGGGACTAACCCATATCTTACAAAATTTGTGTATTTTTATGGGATTATTTGTGGGGACAGACAAACAAACAATAGGTGTCTGAGTAGAGAGTACCTTCCCTCAGTGTTTTTTCTCCCCTTCCTACACAGTACAAAAGCAACCTATGCCTTTTTACTATCTGATTCTGATCTTATAAAATACAATACGCATGTGGCCTTTTTGTCTGTATTACTATGAACTATTGTTCTCTCGCATATACACCCAAACGATATACAGAAATGGGTCCTTGACACAAAGATAAAAATGAACGAGAAGGGGATTCAAAGAAAAAAAAAAGTTCACTAATATAGAACACAGCATACAAATTGAATATATATATATATATATATGAAGGGGAGTCTTGGAGCACAGGTTAAGGTGTTGCCATTGTGTGATCTAGAGGTCACGGGTTCGAGTCCTGTAAGCAGTCTCTTACAGATATTTCTGCAGGGTAAGGTTTGCCTATAATACACCCTTGTGGTGGGACTCTTCCTCGGACCCCCGCTCAACGGGAATGCTTTGTGCATCGGGCTGTCCTTTATATATATATATATATATAGGTATATCAAGCAACAGACAATTCATGGACGACGCAACATCACAAAACACAGAATCTTATATCAACTTGTGAGAATATCATATAACCATAGGATGATGTTCAAGTAGAGCACTTACTCTTTTTGTTCAGTTTTCAACAGGTCAAGAGAGGGGACCCGCTGCATTTAACATCGGAAGCATCAGAAAGGCGTTGTCGTGGTGAGAGTGCCGTGATTCCAGCTGCATCGACATCGATATTCACTATGACTTTCCTCTTCTGCACCTCTACTTTGTTCATTCTCTCTTCCGACCCTTCAGCTATGGGGTTCAGGACTGCAGCCTCTATCGCGGCCGTGTCATCGCCATCTGCCGCATACAGGACCCTTTTAATGGCACCAACGAGCTGAAAATTGAAAAAATGTGATTAAGGATTCTAAGATTATGAATTTTAGTTGCTTATGGATGTCAAAGTGGGATTGGAAGTTTACGGGCAGGCGCTCGGTCTCGGGGTTTTGGCAGAGAATCTCTACATCCCTGAGTTTAGAAAAGTAAAAGTCTCTCTCTTTTTCGAGGCTGTCTATGTATAGTTTCAGCTCAGTTATCTGCGACAAAGCAGCGTGTTAGCGAGTAGTCTTGTGGGAATGGTGTGAACTCTATAGAAGGTGGGTTATATAGACAACCTGTTCATCGTATGCAGTCATTGGTTTGGATGATCTAGATGAGGCCTTAGCAGAATGGTTGGAATTGTTGGAGGAAGGAGGTTCATTTTTTCGTGTTCCGTTTGAAGATGAGGGTCTAGGAGCAGCTGAAGAACCCTTTGTTGAGGCTTGTGTAGCTGCAGCACCCCTCTTGTTCGTATCTTTTCCACCTTTGCAGACTTCTCTTCTCTCCAACGCGTTGTAACTAATAAAGAAAAGCAACGAAGAGAGCAAAATTAGGAATAGACTCTCCTTATTGGTGCCGCGATATATTCTGATGTATCAAAGCAAGAAAAGAACAAGAGACCAAATTGACTGCCAGAGGGTATTTAACAATGCTGCGTAACAAGACAAACACACGATTACTATGTTCACGGAGGCTGGTCCTTAGCAATTCAAACCAGATTAGCAAAACGAACAAAAGGAAGGAAGGGTTCCCTACACTACGGCAAATTCAACTTTTCTTCTTTTAGGGTAGGAAACGGTTCACCCACGAATTGTAAAAGCTCATGACAGTAAACGGATTCAATATTACAGCACAGTCGGAACAGTAAGTGAGATTTGAAATGACAAGAAAGCCAAAATCACGAGATTTAGGTTCTGAAACTTCCATAAAGTTCAGGGTAAGAAACTTAGTTGGAGCTGTGCAGGAGGTGAACTTACTTCTGAAACAGGCCCCCGTGTAAAAGCTCATGACAGTAAACGGATTCAATATTACAGCACAGTCGGAACAGTAAGTGAGATTTGAAATGACAAGAAAGCCAAAATCACGAGATTTAGGTTCTGAAACTTCCATAAAGTTCAGGGTAAGAAACTTAGTTGGAGCTGTGCAGGAGGTGAACTTACTTCTGAAACAGGCCCCCGTTCACAGAATCGCAATATCTCTTCATCCACTGCATGAACTCCAAGTTATCAAGTGGTCTTCCCTTCACTAGCTTGCTGACTTCTATGTGCTGCAAGCCAATAAACCAAACAACCGCAAATCGATTCACGGACAATGTCGATCTAAATCCAAAATCAAAACCAAACAGAAAAAGGAAAGAAAATGAGAGAGGACCTTGGTGATCTTGAGTTTGTTGAAGACATCCTGAAGCACCTTGTAGTTCTGTATCATATCGTACTCGCTCTTCGCATCGAAGTTAACCTTGTGCATCGGAACCATTCCTGGATGGATCGAATCCATCAATTGGCAGTGAACTGCGCCGGAACACGCCTGCAATCCACAGATCCACATCGAAATCCAGAGAGAAGGATCATAAAACAGAAAGGAATCATGAAAGAAAAGAGTAGAAGATGAAATCTCAAATTAGAGCTGCGAAGATTGAAGAAATTGCAGAAACAGTACCTCTTCGACTTTGGAGAGATTGAGTTGGAGAGTAGAGTTGATCCATGCGAGAATCTCCGATCTCCCAACGAAATATGCCGAACCCATCATCCCAATGTTCGTCGCCATCTCCGATATGATCAGAGGAAACTTTGATCTCTCTCTCTCTCTCTCTCTCTCTCTCTCTCTCTCTCTCTCTCTCTAACGTCTCTTTTGACAGTGCGAAAGAGACGAGTCTTTGGAAAATGGGGTGGGGGCAGGGGAGTCTTCAATTCAAAATGCAACATCTGACCCGTTTGAATAAATTCGGATCCGGTTTACATTTCGGGTCTCCAATTTGGGCTTCTTTCTTTTCGGTCAGTGTTCTTAATCTGGGCCACGAAAAATAGCCCACATTTCGTTCATGATACTTTTTTGTTTGAAAATTCAAATATTTATTCCGTTTTAAAAAAAGTAAAAATGAAGTTAGATAGGGTTCTTAAATCACATCATTATTGTGTTAGGAGTTTCCCAAATTCTGGATAGGCATTGTAGTGTATCATCCTTTTACTTTTTGGGAAGAATTATAAAATTACAATTTAATAATGCGAAATGATGTCTCAGTGGAGCTTGTACTTTACAGGAATTGCTGGTGGATTCGAAAAATGAGTCCCGACCAAACACAAACAGGACCGATGCTCGGATATTTTCTGGACATTCGGGTGTGAAAGTATATATTTGATTATTTTGATATATATATATATATATATATATATATATATTAATATATATACACATACTGTATGCATGTATACACTTTGATCAGACCAAGGAAATGGTGGTACCATTTTTCCTCTCCACTAGCCCATGTCTGTCTCCTGCTAAAATTTGTCGCCTCCCAAGAGAAAATAAATAATTTGAGCATGGGTTGTATACCAATATATTGCATTCACCGGAATATATATATATATACAGGTCAAGAGAGGGGAC